ATCTTGTCCAAATACGCCTAAAAATCACAAAAAGAATTGATTTTGATATAATTTTGTTTGTTTCATTCGATTTAACTGGTTTTTGTACAAAATTTAAAAAAATAAGCAAAGAAAACGCAAGATTTCGCCAAAACAAACCAAAAAAAAACAACAAATCAAACAGAAATTATGTTATTTTTGCATTTTTTGAGCGATTTAGCACTTTTTTAAGCTAGTAACGTAATTATTTCCCAAAAAAACAACCCGAAAAATCAAATTTTTAAGCTGAAAACTCTGAGTCAAAAATCAACTCAAATCTGGGGATTTTTTTTCCTGAGATGGCAACACTAATTCGTTGCTTGGCAACCACAATACACGTCACGAGTCTCCGCCCACTGCGAGCAATTCGAGACAGATACTAGAGTGTGATGAAAGAAAAAAAATAAAATAAAACACAAATTGCTTGTCTACAGGTTTAATTAATAAAATCCAACAACACCATTGATCGTAAATAAATATCAACAAAAGTTTGTCACTTATCCACCGGCAATAAATAAATATTTGAATAAATAACAAAAACATTAGAAATTCCTCCTTATTTCACAATAAAATATCTAAAAAGTGATTGCCTTGACCGGGCCCCCCTATTCGCTAATCTAGAGGCACTTGGAAAATTTGAGCTTGTTTTTTATAACCTCAAAAATACTAAATATGTCCATTGGTGGCCACCGGAATCCTCTCATAGAACCTCCGATGTAACTCATCGATCCTTGTGAGATAATACGTCCCTGGGAACAAGTTTTCAACCCCCCCTGAAGGCTCATAGGGGGCTTTATGACAATTCTTCTCCCTTAATTCGAGATAAGCCTCGAATTTCTCGGGGGCGACTTTGTGTCTTTGGCCCAAAAGGGGCTTAATCAATTGGACATTTTTCACCAGTTTCGCCAAAGGGCCCCCCTCGCGACTGTCTTTCGACACTGTGATGGAAAACAAGGAGGCTGCCAGCCCCGAACCGTACGAAAACAGCCCGATTTTGCACCCCGCCAATTCTGAGACTGTCTTATTCAATAAAAGCGAGACAAGCCCCCCGTACAACGAGGGGGTGTACATATTACCAACTTGACTCGCTACCAACAAAGAAGGCTTGGTTTTAACCTCAAAAGTGTCTTTAGTAAAGTTGAGAAAAGCCTTCTCGACGTCACGATCAAAATAACTCTCGGTTAATTTAACCTCATTGAAGTTATCCAAGTTTGGGAATTTATTTTTTCGCTCAGTTGGCACACTTGCAAGAAAATCGTTCAACGCAAGTCTCGCTAGGGACTTTTGCACCAATTTACAATACGGCGAATGAAACAAAACCGCATCAAAACACCCTAAATCAAACACTGACTTGTGTTTTTTGGTGTAATTCTTGGCGTAAAGTTGGTAGCAATTATCCAAAGCGCTTAAATAGCACTGAATTGATAGTTTACCATCAACAGTGGGGTACTCTGAGGTCAGATCAGGTTTGTAGAAATCATAGGCGTGCTTGACGTAGGTCGCACGTACCCCCCGATCGAAGACAAGGGGGGCATTGGGCCCCACTAGCATTGCCACAGCGCCGGCGCCCCCCGTCGGCCGCGCCGAGCCTTTGGCATACACCGCAATGTCCCCACAGACGACTAGGGCGTAGCGCCCGTTCCACGCCGACGACTCCACCCACGAAATGGCGTTGAAGAGGGCTGCCGTGCCCCCATAGCACGCATTTGTCGTGTCGATGCCCTCGATGTCGGTGACTCCATGGGGCTCGAACAGTTGCATCAGGACTGTCTTTACACTCTTGGACTTGTCGATGATGGTCTCGGTGCCCACCTCGAGACGCCCTATAGCCCCATAATCCACGGAGTACTTCTCCAGGAGGCGTTTCACCACTGTGAGACATAGCGAGTTGATGTCTTCGCGGTCGGTACAGAACCCCATTTTTTCTTGGCCGAGTCCTATGGTGTATTTACCGGCTGAGGCCCCATCGTGGGTCTCCAGGTCGGTTTGGTCGACGTATTGCGACGGGAAGTAGAGTTCTAGGGCATGGATCCCCACGTCTTCGGGCCACGAACCCATCACGATTTAGTACACTTGCACGAGAGAGAGGCTGAGATTCGACTGAGCCACCTCACACCATTCCAATTATAACTTACACCCTACTCTTGGAGTTAACCTCAATTTCGAATTTTTGAATGAGTGACAGGTGACAGATGCGCAACAATCCTATGACCAAGTAATCCCAAGTTGGTCACAAAATCGCAAACTAATCAAGTAAAAGCCACAAAACAACAAAAATTGCGTTTTTAAATCAAAATGGCACAAAAATAGTTTTATTTGAGGGTAATTTGCAATTTTATTAGATAATTTGTGCATTAATTTCTGACGCATGCGCAGAGGACGTGTTAACAACCCAATGCCCAACCAACCCTAAATTACTCACAAAAACAAAAATAAATACCTAAAAATCCCAAACTACCACAGAATAATGGCAAAAATTAATATTTTCCAGTCAAATAACACAAAAATTAGCAATTGGATATGAAAGGTGACAGTTATAATAATCCTACGACCAACCAACCCTAATTTTGTCTAAATTCCCAAAATAATTAACTAAAAACCCCAAAGTGACAAAAATTAAATATTTTTATAGAATAATTACAAAAATAAATATTTTAGAGTTATAGGTGCGTAAAGAATCCTATGATCAACCAACCCTAATTTGGTCACAAATTCGCAAAATAACTAAAAGCCCCAAACCAACAAGGAATAACAAAAATTAATATTTTTAATTTAAAATGACGCAAAAATTGTTTTATTTGAGGCTAAATCGCAATTTTAAGATTAATTTCCGACGCATGCGCACAGGAACCAATGCGCAAACCAACTCAAATTACACACAAAATTATAAAACAAATAACTAAAAATCCTAAACTACCACAGAATAATAAGAAAAATAAGTATTTCTAAGTCAAATGATACAAAAATCGTTCTAATTCGCAATTGTATAATTTGACAAGTGACACGTCAAGAATCCTATAACCAACCTACCCTAATTTTGTCTAAAATCGCGAAATAATTAACTAAAAACCCCAAACCAACACAAAGTGACAAAAATTGATATTTTTAAATTCAAAATGACGCAAAAATTGTTTTATTTAAGTCTAATTCGCAATTTTATTAGATAATTTGAGGATTAATTTCTGACGCATGTGCAGAGGAACCAAAGTGCTAACAACTCCATGCCCAACGAACCCTAAATTACTCACAAAAACACAAAAGTAAATACCTAAAAATCCCAAGCCACCACAGAATAATGACAAAAATAATTATTTTCTAGTCACATAATACAAAAATTGTTCTAATTAGCAATTGGATAATTTGACAAAATTATAAAATAAATAACTAAAAAACCTAAACCACCACAGAATAATAACAAAAATTAATATTTTCAAGTCAAATGACACAAAAATCGTTCTAATTAGGAATTGAATAATAGGACAGGTGACAGTTGCGTCAAGAATCCTATGACCAACCAACCCTAATTTTGTCTAAAATCGAAAATAATTAATTAAAACCCGCAAACCAACACACAGTGACAAAAATTAATATTTTAAATCAAAATGACATAAAAATGGTTTCATTTTTTTAGTAAATTCGCAATTTTATAAGAACCAAAGCGATAACAATTCAATGCCCAACTAACCCCAAATTACTCACAAAATTATAAAATAATTAAGTAGAAATCCCAAACCACCACAGAATAATTACAAAAATGAATATTTTCCAGTCAAATAACAAAAGTTGTTTTAATTTGCAATTGGATAATATGACAGGTGCGTCAAGAATCCTATGATCAATCAACCCCAAATTTAGTCAAAAATTCGCAAAATAATTAACTAAAAAACCCAAACCAACACAAAGTGACAAAAATTAATATTTTTTTATTCAAAATGATGCAAAAATTGTTTTATTTGAGGCTAATTCACAATTTTATTGGATATGTGCATTAATTTGACACAAATCACACAAAAATCATTTTAATTCGCAATTGGATAATATGACAGGTGACAGTTAAATCATAAATCCTACGACCAACCAACCCTAATTTTGTCTAAAATTGCAAAATAATTAACTAAAAACTCCAAACCAACACAAAGTGACAAAAATTGATACTTTTAAATAAAAATGGCACAAAAATGGTTTTATTTTTTAATTAATTTGCAATTTTATTCGACGGATGCGCATAAGAACCAAAGCGCTAACAATCCAATGCCCAACCAACCCCAAATTATTCACAAAATTATAAAATAATGAACTAGAAATCCCAAACCACCACAGAATAATTACAAAAATAAATATTTTAAGAGTCAAATAACAAAAGTTGTTTTAATTTGCAGTTAGATAATATGACAGGTGTGTCAAAAATCCTATAATCAACTAACCCTAATTTGGTCATAAAATCGCAAAATAATTAACTAAAAACCCTAAACCAACACAAAGTGAAAAAAATTGCTATTTTTTAATTCAAAATGACGCAAAAATTGTTTTATTTGAGGCTAATTCGCAATTTTATTATATAATTTGTGCAATAATTTCTGCATGCGCAAAGGAACCAGAGTGCTATCAATCCAATGCCCAACCAACCCTAAATTACTCACAAAATTAAAAAATAAATACCTAAAAATCCCACACCACCACAGAATAATGACAAAAATAAATATTTTCAAGTCAAATTCCACAAAAATCGTTCTAATTTTCAATTGGATATGACAGGTGAAAAAAAAATCAATATTTTTAAATCAAAATGACACAAAAATTCTTCTATTCTTTAATTAATTTGCAATTTTATTCGACGGATGCGCATAGGAACCAAAGCACTAAAAACCCAATGCCCGACAAACCCTAAATTACCCACAAAATTATAAAATAAATAACTAAAAATCTCAAACTACCACAGAATAATAACAAAAATGAACATTTTCGAGCCAAATGACACAAAAATCGTTCTAATTAGCAATAGGATAATATGACAGGTGACAGTTACGCAAGAATCCTATGACCAACTAACCCTAATTTTGTCTAAAGTCGCAAAATAATTAACTAAAAACCCCAAACCAACACAAAGTGAAGAATAATAACAAAAATTAATATTTGCAAGTCAAATAACAATTCTCAATTGGATAATTTGTACATTGGACCAACGTGTCAAACTCGTGTGGTCCATAACCTCACTTTGGCCCCAAAAATGTCGAAAATTTTCGACGACTCCGATTCGGACACCCAAATCAAAACAGACAACGAATACGCCAAAAACTACGACAAGTGGCGAAAAAAAGAGGAATTAAACAGACGTAAGCCCCAAAACTTGCCCCAACCCCAAGTTACACATTTTTTTCAGTCAAAACCAAATACGGTGACGACTTACTCGACGACGAGTCGTCATCAAGCTCCTCCGATGATGAAGAAGGCGTCGAATTGACCGACGAAGTCGAGAAACAATTTTTCAAAACCCTTTCATGTCTCAAAAACAAAGACCCGCGAATCTACGACGAAAACGTGCGTTTTTTCGACGAAACCCCCATAAATCGGGGTAGAGCACCCAAGAAGGGCCACAAAGACAAGCCCTTGTTCATCAACGACTACGAACGAGAGCTGATTTTGAAGAAAAACGGCGAAATTAGCGATGATGAGACAGGGGAAGCCCCCCCAGACTCGCCAACTTATGTTGAAGAACAAAACAAACTCAAGGAGAGTTTCAAGGAGGCTTTGGATCGCGTCAGTGAGGAGGATTGGGGTGGGGTGCTCAAAATTCGCAAAAAAACTGAAGAGGAAAAGAAGAGGGAAGAAGCCGATTATTTGGAGTGGTTAGCGGGGCAAAAGGAAGAAATCGAAGATAAAGAAATCACAAGTGAATTAGAACCGTTGAAGAAATATTGGAATAAGCCAGATTTAGACGAAGACGAGAAGTTTCTCAGAGATTATATTTTACAAAAAAAGTAAAATTGATTCTCTAATTGAGGAAAATTTTAAAGAGTGTTTCAGGTTTTTGAGTCACGAAGATGAAGATTATATCCCAACATATGAGGAAATTGTGCACGATTCTGATAAAGATTTGTCTGAAGATGAAGATGCGATTGAACGTCAGGAGGAATTTGAGCATAAATATAATTTCAGGTTTGAAGAACCTGATCAGGAATTTGTAAGTCAATTAATTGAATTTTCTTCAATTAATTTGTAATTATTAGATTAAACGGTACCCAAGAACCATGGAACACTCCTTGAGGAAAACTGACGATAAAAGAAAACTCAAACGACAAGAAACTAAAGAACGGAAGAAGAAAGAAAAGGAGCAGAAAATGCAGGAAATGAAGAAACTTCAAGAGCTGAAACGGAAAGAAATTGAAGAGAAGATAGAGAAACTGAAAGAGATTACAGGAAACAAAGACATGGAATTTAAAGATGAAGATTTGGAGAGTGACTTCGATCCGGAAGCACATGATAAAAGAATGCAGAATTTGTTCAATGATGACTTTTATCAAGCACCGGAAGATGACCAAAAACCGGAGTTTCCGGAACTTGACGAATTTCTAGAAATTGGTGAGTCGATTAGTGACTTTTTTAGTGGTTGTAGTAATTTTTTTTTGATAGAAAATTGGGAAAAATGGAACGGTGAGGAAGAAAATGAGCCACACTGCGAAGATGAAGATTTTAATGTGAGTTTCAAATTTCCTTTAACTTTTCTCACAATTTTCTTCAGATGGATTGTGATTATGAGACAACCAAACAGGAATTGATCGAAAACAGCAAAGGGAGGAAAAAACGGAAACGGAAATCACTCTTTGCCAAAGCTGTCAAACAACCAAAACCGGTTTTTGACCCAAATGATAAAACTTATGAACAATATCTCGACGAATATTACAAATTTGATTGTGAGGATATCATCGGGGATGTCCCTTGTCGATTCAAATACCGAAAAGTTGTCCCCAACAATTTCGGTTTATCAATTGAGGAGATTTTAACAGCGAATGATCGCGAATTAAACCGATGGTGTTCATTGAAGAAAGCGATTCAAATTCGACCAGATCACGTGGAAAAATACGACCAAATCGCGTTTGAGAAAAAAGGAAGAAACGTGGAATTGAAGAAGAAGATTTTGCCCAGCTTATTTATCAATGAAAAAGAGAAGGAAAAGAACGACGAGAGTGACAATAAGAAGAAAAAGAAGATGAAGAAAGTGAGGTGTGTTAAAACAAATGAAGATGTAAATAAAAAGAAACGAAAATTGGCAAAAATCGAGTCAACTGTCCCGAATAAAAGGGCCAAAAAGGGATTCAAGGAACAGGAAGTGGGGATTACCGATGCACGCCTATCGGCGTATGGGATTAATCCCAAAAAGTTCAAAAATAAACTAAAATATAAGAAGAATTAATTATGTAATATTTTTACACTCAATATAATTACGACACAAATCTAGGGTGAGTTTGAAATATCCATATTATCGGACTTTTCTGATCCTTTTTCATTCCCTTCCACTTCCCTATCCTTCTCTTTCTCCTTTTCCGAATCAAATCCTTTCTCCTCCTCATCATAATTCCTGGGAACCTTCTCCTTGGACCTTGACCTCTCCTTCTTCTTCTTCTCCCTCCTCCTATCCCTACTCTTTGACCGACTCCTCTTCTTCGTTTTAGGAGACGGTGTCCTTTTCCTTCCCTTCGAGCGTGACCTCCTCCTCTCCTTCTCCTTTCTTCTCTCACGTGACCTCGACCTCCTGTGACTACGACTACGCGACCTTGAAACTTTCTTCTCCCCACTTTCTTCTTTTTTATCTTTCTCTTTCTTATCGCGCTCCTTTGATTTTCTATCTCTCTTGCGGTCCTTTGACCTATCACGTGTCCTCTCCTTCGATTTGTGTCTACGTTCACGCGATTTTGATCGTCGTGTGCGTGACACTGAACGTTTCCTTGAACGTGATTTGGAGCGTTTACGGCGGTCACGTGAACGTGTACGTGAGCGTCGTCGACGCGAACGTGAGCCACGTGAGAGTGACCGTGAGCGTGAACGTCGTCGACGGCCACGTGAGCGTGAACGTGACCGGCGTGAACTTCGTTTATCTTTCGTTAACATTCCAATGACCGGCTCAATAGAGGCATTAATCATGTTTTGAGCCTCTTTAAAGCGTGACATTGCTTCTTCGATCTCTTTTTGAGCGGCTTCATTGCTTTTTGCTTGTGGTTTTATGATTGGTTGAGTGGCGTGGATGATTTCCAATGGTTTTCCTTTGAAGTCGTCACCGTTCATTTTCATTGCATTTACGACACTTGGCTGTTCAGTGAATTCGATTAAAATGTGTGTTGTGGAGTCGTTGGGGGATTCACAAACCCTCAAATATTTCACTTCACCGGCTTGTGAAAAAAACTGGATTATCTCATCGGTGGGTATGGAAGGCTCGATGTTGACCACCTGGACCGTTCTTCGCGTCTCTTCGACTTTAATCGAGTCGTATTTGGCCGGTAAAGGGGGATAGGGGGCGCACCCGTTGTCAGTCAAATGGGGGTCATTCGTCACCACGACACGCTCCTCGCCGGTGCCTTGGAACGTGTTCGAGACATGTGGGGGCAACTTGGGCTCGTTGACATTAAAACCGGGCACAATGGTCCCGTTTCGGGTCATCTCCAGGGCGTAGTACTCATCGGGGATGTCCCCGTTGATCACAGGGATGACGATCAAAGCGCGGTCGATGAACACGGTGTTGGTCATGTGTTGGGCGACACCTACCGTGCTAGAATCCACGAATTTCACGTAGCAAATGCGGGACTGGACCGGGCAGGAGACGTCTCGAATCGTGGGGTACAAACGAATGTCTTCGATTTTTCCCAAGTAGCCGAACAGGGTCTGCATTTGGTCTTTGGTCGCCTGGGGGGCGATGTTGGTCACCTGGACCACTTTCGTGTTGCCCACGACCATTTTATCGCATTTTTTGCACGGTTTTGAAACGCTAAACGACGCACATTGACAAGTGACAAGTGACAGCAAGGGGTGCCAACAGGCGTTATTGTCGCCCAATAATATTGAATAATAAAGCAAATAATTGATTTTTATTGACATTCATGACTATTAAGTGTCCAATAAGAGTTTTCTGTGTTCAAATATGTGAAATTGTCCAAAAAATCGCAAGTTTTTAGTGTTTTTGAGTGGTGGGGTTGGCAGCAAGTGTCACCAATCGTCGATTAATTTGTCGAAAATCCCACTTTGGGGCTTGTTGATATGAGTACCGCCCCAATTGAGTTTTCTGTATCGGAAAATTTTTGTTGTAAAAGTGGGAAAACATTGTTGATTACCTTAAAAACAGCCTCGAGCACTTTTAAAACACGAATTATTGAAATTATTGCAGATTTTAAACAAATTCTTGAACACAAACACCGGCTTGAATTTTTTTGCACAAAAATCAAGCGTCATAAGACACAGGGCTGCCACACACATATGACTAAATTTCCATTTCCACTGTCACAATTACTAAAATTTCAGCCACAATTTCATTAAAACAAGTCAAACAACACTTTTTGGAGATTTCTTGTGCCATTTTTCCAACAATTACGCAAAAA